TCGGGAATAATGAAGTGCTTAAGGGTCCGGCGTTCTTGTTACCCGTTACGAATGGTTATTTGAATGAATATTTGTCAGTTTAAACTTCTTCCTGGAGCCCGATTGTCAAATGGGCACAAACAACATTAATGATCAGGACCAAAAGTATATGAGATATTGAGAATTCAAGTCTCTGTTTTCACTCTCGGAGTCGGAGCTCTCAGCCCCATTTCCCCCTGCAATTAGAGGGAAATAGAAGAATGGCACCTATCGTTCGCATCCTCTCCGGTTCGGGATCAGTCTGTGGACCATTACCGATGGCTCCGGCGTATCTGTGTCTGACTTGACTACCCGGATGCGAGCGGAATCATTGAAGTTCGATTTTCGATTCACCTAGTGATGATCGAACATCGGCCTCCACTGTTGAAAACTTGAACGCCAGACGGGCGGTCCATTTATTGAACCGATGGAAACTGAGCGTGATTGCGTGTACGCTCACGGCAGTATATCGCGCGAGGATTGGTGTGTTTGTTCCTCCGATTCCCCTCATGACGACCAATCGTAGAACTTGGCGCTGATTACGGCCGAGCTCAGCCGCCGAGCGGTAGGATCTAATTCTTCTGACTGTTCACACGGCTTGTTACGAGCGCTCGGCGAAATGCATTGATGAAATGCGCATCTTCCAATTCCCCCCCTCTCATCAGAATTCTGATCTTCTCCACACGGATGCAGCGCACGTGCCTGACGTGTGAGAAGCCGTTGGGGACCCGGGCCCGCTATGAAGCGCCTTCGAGGCATCTGCAATTTGTTCCTTGGCGCACATTCGGTATAGGAACGTAGCAAGGCATGCTCTTGGTCCTTAATAAGAAGCGCCGATAAACGGGCCTTTCGAAAGCTAGCATCTATCTCGAGCCAGAATATGGACGATGGCTACGACCGTGGCGAGTCCCTGACTCGGTACATTGGAACAAGATCGCCGCTTACATCGGCTCTGGCTCGCTGGATTTTCCTGCGTATTCTGCTGGATACGTCCGTGAGTCGCTTCCGTACGTAGAACCTACATTTTCCTCATTCTTGAAGGAGCTCCCGAGACCGAACGAGGAACAAGCGAGACTCAGCATGATCCTCCTACCGCCTCCCGCACGCAATTCCATTTTTGGGACTTCAAGCGTACTCGCTCCATGGATCGGGATAAGTGTCCACCGGGATTCTACTGAAATGGAATTCGGGGAATCGTGACAGCTTTGAGAATTCCTAGAGGATTTGGTTCGATCGATTATCGCATCCGAACGGGATCGCTTCAGGATACGGTTTTTGTGGTTGAGGCTTCGGGTTCCGGTTGTGCTTCCTCATCACTAAGCACATTCCGAACGCTCATAGCTGCACAGTTCGTCTCCGCCTGAAATCGCAGAACGTTCGCACTCGATACCGATACTGAAAATATGTACACATGAAACTTCGGAGTGGTCCCCGGGACCCGAAGCCTGAGCTGGAGCTTGAGCAGCGGCCGAGTCTCCCGAAAATTGTTTCAGGAAAACGCTCCACGCGATTTCGTCCCGACTTTCGCGAGCTTCTCAACTTCACTGAATCAGTAGAGTTCTCCGGGATCAGGGCGAGAGGTGCAATGAATACCCTGATGTTGGATGTTGCTCGACGACGGGTTCGATGGCACGAATGTTATTGCGTACGTGTCGCCGCTTCCCCTTGGTGAGACGATGGAATATCCCATACCAATGATCGGAGGCTCACCAGCAAGCAAGCACAGCGATTGGGGAGCCTCTCCGTACGAAGCGACCGCTCGTGCTCGCCGGACCTCCCGAATACGATGTTATTCGTCCCGGGATTCCGGAACCATATACACATGTATGCAGGTACGGGTGATGACACTCATTGAAGTTTAATAAATTGTCTCTTCTCGAGTTGCCTGCACGATGCCAATCGTACTTGTGACTTTTGCATTGATTTTCTCGAGCCGGCCCTCATGTAATCACCGATCGAGTCTTCTCGACTCAATCTCTTGCATGTCGGTATCTGAGGTGGCTTGCGTTCTGGGATTAGGCAGAAAAAAAATCTTCAAAACCCGGAATCGCGAGCCCGATCGGAAACTGGTATATAGAGCAGAATCTTCAATGGATGGATCGCCCATTCTCTCTCTCAATCGCTCACCACCGCTCAATCAATGAAGGGTGCAGCATTCACGTAGACCGGCTATGGATGAGCGAGGTTTGCCGGGCACTGACGTGGGTGGTGCGGCTAATTCGACGATACTCGTATAATCTTCTCATTCTGCGGCTGAAACACACTTGGAAGAACCCTTGCGGGCCCCGGCCTGTATGCGCACGAGTCGCATTACCGGAAGAACCGTAACCCCGAAATCACGGTTCGTCATAAAAAAAAACTGCAGAAAACAACAATACGGACCGTCGTCGGTCTGCGGACTCCCCAGTGATCACAAGTCCGATCAAGATACTGTTGATATGATCGGCGAAGACCATTGTTATCGCAGCGTAGCGTCAGCATGAAATGCGATCAAGTGCCTCCGGCTCCTGCTCTCTGGTCAAGGCGGGCAGACCACAGATATGAGATCCGGAGCGGAAATTATCTCCACCTGGGACGACTGCGTGGTTCCTATTCTGCGAGCTTGCTTGTTTTGTACGAAATCGCTGCGCTTCGTTTGTGTAAATCGATTTCAGATCAAGTTGAACTGTTCGCAGATGTTCTCTCCGAAGGCGGCAGTTGCGGCGCCGCGTCATTTCAAGTCGCGCCAGCCGGATTGGTGTCTTCGGCGGCAGCGAAACGACTGAAGACTGTTGATGGCGAGCAGAAGCGCAGAAACGACGAATATTGTAGCATTTTTTTGTTGCGTCGAGAAAGAATTCTCTTTGTTTCATATGAAGTCCGCTCCCGACCACGTAAACGGAACATTCATTTTGTCTGCTCCGATTTCTAGGATAAGTGCGGCACTCGAATAAGCTGAAAGTGCAGCTCCGAACACAGTAAGGGGGAATTCCGCACGAGATCGTTTGACAGCCTTCGAGGGGAGAACCGAGACGCATTCCAAGTATTCTCATCCATCTCCTCGATGTGGAAATATTCCTGGAAGAAATAGCTGAGAAATGCCCTCCGCGGAAAAATGAGATGCCTCCGGCGCGTTCCAATCGGGAGCCGTCCTGCCATCCGGTAGCGTGGCGTTACCCATGTCTCGATCCCGATTTTGACGGGAATCCTGGCAATCTGGCTCCGAAAAGGATCTGGAGGGTCCTCCGTTTCGACAAGCCCTCAGTCGCACGATGGCAGTGGGTGACAAGTTGTCTCAAGCGGCAACGGAAGATGAAGCGCGCATTGTCTCGTCAATGGAAATCTTCTTCCGGCGACATTGTCTCCATCGGGCAGCAGAGTCAGTCTTCAATTGACTGCTCCCAGAACAACGGACTGACGCCCTCAGAAGAAGGAGAACATTGTTTATAGCTGGAGGAAACTAGTTATACGACTCCGATACACTGACTTGGGCCCGTTTGCTTTCCGGATCGGACTGATTGACGGGTGGCAGTGGGTCGGCGTTGTTGACGTGTTCATTTGCAGGGTCCGGCCGTCAGGGTGTTAAAGCACGATGTTTAACGAGCGACGATTGAGCTTCTCAGTCAGACTGGACTTCTCTTCTGAAGGCGAGGTCTTCATCGGGCCCGAGCTGTCTTCCATGAGAAAAAGCGGGTCTATCTCTCCGCATAGAATCGGAGTGTTTTCGGGTGAAGGGAAGATAGGCCGAATATCTGGAGTCCGAAGTCCATGAATAATTATTATCTTCGCTTCAATGCACTTCTCGCGGTACTGACTGAGTGAGTGTAACCATGATCGACAGTCGATGAATCGGTTCAGAGACGCCGTCCTGGAGCCGGGGAGCTCTCTTCATCAAGGAGAGAGCTCGGGGATGTGGAGGTGACGGAATATCGTAAATCATGTAAATAGTCGGAGAATAACCGTAAATAACTAATGATTTTATGTCTGAGCTTCTGTAACGAGATGAAAGGTGCTCAAGCAACAAAATGGAGATACCGTTGGTGGCCAACGCACTATAACAGGGTCGTGGTTGTTACGATTATGTGTGTGTGTGTTTATTCCAGAAGTTATATCAGAAGTTGTGGGTGTGGGTCTTCTTTCTGAAAGGGTCCCTAGGAACAAAAGTATGTATTGCCTTGACAATGTTTAGTGCGAGAGCCGTGTGTGAGTATAAATTGGCTCTCGGCAAGCATCCGCTTATCACACACAGTTGGATTCGCCGAGTGGCATACCCCAAGACTGTCTGTGAAGTGGAGTGCTCATGAAGTTCTTGTAAGTGGTCTCCGAGTGTCAATTCGAAGTTTCCTCCGTGCGGTGGTCCTCTGGATATACACATATAGAGCTCCTAGCGATTGCCGCCCCCCTCGGCCAGATTACGGTCTTTAGTCCAGTGCCCAATCGAATGCGGAGTGCTCCGAGACGTCGATTCGACATGATTGGTAGAGCTTGAAAGCATCACTTGCTGACACATCAATCGGACTCGCATGTACAGAGCAATTAGTCAAACACTCACTCGACTATAGCGGCGCGCGGTGGTGAGTTTTTTTCCGTGAATTGACATTCGTCTGCGAAGATGTGCTGGGGAAGTCCAGACGGAGATTTTCTCGCGACGTCACCGCTGCTCTGGCGAACGTCGCGATCGCCACCGCCGCCGCTGCTGTAATAGGTACGCGTTCCGGCCGAGGGAGTCCATTCTCTGGAGCTCAGAAAGAGCAACCTCGTGGAATTAAGCGCTCATTCCAGCCTCAGCCACCGCGACGAACGTTCGCTCCACATCACTTCTGATGCTTTCCCCCCGAGAGTACGTCTCCTAGGAGCCGACTGAGACTTGAAACGTTCCCGTTTCGCGTTCATCTCGCTCGATGTCAATCTGGTCTCTCTCAGGATCTCGGTCGATGCGTTCCACTGTCTATGCGTATCGCTGAGGTCTTGCAGGATCGATTCCTGATTTTCATCGCGGATCCATGGTGAAGTGCTTCTCAAATACACTCAAGATTGTGCGTTGCAGGATCCTGCCGCTGCTCCTGGTGGTGGCTTATGCCTACGCCCAAAATGACCTTGAAGACGACGACCAAGACGACAGTCCACTGAGCTTGATCCAACAGGAATTCGGGGAGAAGCCGCCGCGTAAGCAGAATCAGAGAGCTCCTCGTCGGATAAAACTGATAAATCTCCCATTCCGGAAAATTGGCGATTTTTGCTCAAAACATCGACTTCTCATATCATATTATTAAAAATCATAATATTATTTGATTCCCAGGTCGGCGGACCGAGGGAGGCCCCTCATCCCTGGGAAAACAGCCCGGAGGGTCGCCCTCATCGTCCTCCCCGTACGGAGGGTCTTCAGTCCCCGAGTTCGATCCTGCGCTGCCCTCGTTACAGTCTTCAACAGCTTACGCCGAAGCCACGCCACCATCCGCTCAATCCACGTCTTTCGCCGGAGACCTCGACCAACCGACCACGATATCGCCGTTCTCAGCTCCAGCCACCACTCTGCCCCCGCCATCGAGCCTCGGACTCGGGAACGAATCTCCGGTACAAGATCATCGGGACCGACTCCCACCGGATGAGATCAGCCGGCGTACCGATGAAGTGAAACCTCCCGGCTACGTCGACGACCGAAACGCGGCGCTGCTCTACCGACATGGATACTCAGGCTTTCGGGACCGTTCGGGACTACTTCCCGTAGACCTCTCCTTCGCCAGTCGACTGCACGCTCTTCTGCCGCCTGTGGCACGGAACGACGAGAACCGTGCCCCAAGACCTTTCAATTTCGCGTACATCTCACCAACCGAGGCGGGGGGCGCGCATTCTCGTTCGGAAGTTGCCGACGCCGCGGGACGTCGTGTCGGTTACTACACGATCCGTCAACCGAACGGTCACGTTCGACGCGTTAACTATATCGCCGATCACAACGGGTTCCGCGCAGAAGTTCTTACCAACGAGCCCGGAACAGACAATCAGAACACCGCTGGAGCAATCTTCCGCTCCTCTGCGGCCTTACCCTACCCTGAGCGCTTGTCTGGACCCGGAGTGCCAGCATCGGGCCTTCCGCCGTCGTCGATTCCAGTTCACACTCCCACGGGCGGCCTGGCCCACGGATTACCAACGCCGCTCGCGATCACACCGACGGGACTTCCGCTGAGTCCTTCGGACGTTTCCCGTCCCCTGAATCCCCTGCGGTATCCAACAGCCGGAGATTTGGAGAGCCGCTACAGGTTTCCAGGCGGGAGCCTTTTCCCAGACCTACGAATGCGTTACGTGCGAATTCCTGATGGTTTCCGAGCAGTCTTGGTGCCATTGCATTCTTAATCGGTCGACCTCTCTGTAAATATTATGGAAGCCTTCAACTCCCTGATGTAGAATCACCCGGTTCTCGGTGGTGTCTTGAGACCGATGTCGACAATTTAGAGAAGTTTATTATTCTCTATCAAAATCTAATTTAAGATGTCTCTCCGGTCATCGCTTGTGAAACAATAAACTCGAGAGCTTAGGACAGTAGCGGCTTCTGACCATCCCCTGATGATTAACTGCATGTTCCAGTCCGCTCCGGAAGTAGGCACCTCCCTGGAATTGAAGCAGCCAGACTTCTTGCATGAATCCGCTTATCTCGGTCAGTCCAAGAGCAGTGCTTCATCGAATGAGCCAGCCATGAATTCGGTTGGGTTCTCATGCAACTTGAACTTCGGAGAGCTCTCGCGACCGAAGAAAACACATCGAAGCCATTTCTAAGTCTTCTGGCCGATGAATCCTCTCAGATCTCGGCTCGGTAGTTTCCAAAATTCGGAGGATCTCAGAAAGGCATTCGAGCAGGGTCGTGAATAGGTGCTTGGGGAGGGAAGGTTGGAGGTTCGCCATGGTCTCTAATAGCTGAATCTTGCAAGGACCCGGGAAAGAACTCAATCATAACATTGCAATGTCCCATTCGAGCAGCAGGGTTCTAGCGGAACGCCCTTCCAACGAGATGAGCTCAATGTTATCCGGATAAACCTGGTGCTAAATGCGAATTCAGTGGCACCAGACAGTCAGCGTGACTGATCCTGTGCCGCGGTGACAGCAGCGACATCGGAGGCAGACGACAGCGGCTCCTCTTGTTTACAAACAAAACGATTGCTGCGGCTGTGATCATAATCAAAGCTCATAAAGAAACTCGGGCTTGAAATCTCGTAGTTGGGGGAACCCATCGGCGGCTTTCCAGACTCGTCTGAGGAGGCAAGTTAGCCGAGGTGGACAGCTATGGATTCGGCCCTACTGAAAGAAAACGACGAGTTCCACTCATGGGAAGAGTGGAAAAGCCGCTTCGAAGAGTGGTGTCAAGCTACTGGACAACAATACAAAGTTAACACGTCGAGGTGAGTTTTCTGAGTGAGCTGATCGAGCTCCAAAGTTCGAAAGGGTCCCTCCCCTCTCGCCCTGATTTCTTCCCGGTGCTTCTCGCAATCGACCGCAGAGGAATCCGCTCCTCCCGCCGGTTTCTTTCCAAGCGACTTCTGGTCGCCGGGAGCCGTCAACCAGAGTTTCCGAGCATCGATACTCGGAGCTCGTCGGAGCCCATTTCTTGCGAAGGGCAGGGAGAACCCTGATATCGAGCAAGCTGAAATAGCCGCCAGAAGTTACGGGCGCGGAGTCAGTGCGGCTCCAGTTTTCGCCCGCTTCTGCGTCTCGGAGTGGCTCATGAGGCTATGTGGAGGCGCTCCGCCAGAGCCGCTGTCAAGCATGACGACAATATTGACCATGATTTCAACCCGCCCTGAAATCATGAAGACTTGAGATGAGATGTTCTCGTCTAAGGAAAGCTCTAACTTTCTTCCAGAACCGTTGCCGCGTACAACAAAGGCCGGGACGTGGCCACTCAGAAACGTGATCAGAGCAAAAGCACCGCTCTGGGAAAATCGCAACCCGAACTGGCACCGAAAGTTGACGAAAAATGGCAATTTGTTTATGTTCGATATCTTTGTGTTCATAACAACCGAGCGAAAAGCGGTCACATACCGAATCCGAAAACACCACCGTAAGTTCATCCCTCCCGCTAGTATGAATCGGAGATCGGAGTCGAATCGGAATTCGTTTTCTCATATCATACTTGATGTTAGGGAGAGCCCTTAAGCAACCATGGCTACTTGGACGTTTTCAGGAAAAATATTCGCAACTGCAAAGCTACCGTGGTTGTGAAATACGAAAGGAAGGTTGACTGCATAATTGTGCTGAAACTCGATCCTGCTCACGATCATACTGAAAGGACACCCGATATACAACAACCGAGCACTCCTATTGCTCCGGCGAGCGTCATACAGGACGAAGTTGTCGAGGATTCTTTAGAGTGAGTTCCCGCTCATTTCGGATGAGACCAAGGCACCTCTTTCGCGCGTCCCCATCCTGAGCTTGATTCAATCGATTCGGTCAAGTTCTAAGATAATTTACAGCGGAGTCCCAGACGTCGTGGAAACCGAGACAATAGGAGTAAATCTCCTTGACGCTGAAGATCTCGATGAATCCGGCGCCCATCCCTCCCCCGTACCGGGCATGGGCCTGGGAATGGGGATCGGAGATGAGGAGCCCGATGCTGACGAGGATCTCGGACCTCAAGAAGAATACAGAGCGCTGACCCTGAAAGGGATTGTGGATCTCCCGGAGAAACTCACTCTTCTCGGAGATGCTGCTCCTGTCGAAGTCCTCCTACAGGTAAGGAAGCTCGGGGCGGCGGCCGGACCCTCGTCATCCCCGAGATCTGCATTGAGATGACGTCGTATTGAAACTCCTCCGCGACATTCGCGTCTAAGCCGAGTCTCCTCTGAAATATTTTCAGGAGCTTCAAAAACTGGAGGAATGCGACACGGAGAGTCGTTCCTCGATCATCGTGAATAACCAGTCTGAGCTGGTGGCAGTGTTTTTTCAAACAGGACACATGAAGAGAAAATTTGCACTATATCCCGAAATCCTGTTGTTCGACGCGGGGTACCACTTCGCCATGAATCCTGAGTATTCCCTCGTTTCCTTCTCGGGGCACGACGCTCAAGGCCTCGGAGGGCCTTTTGCGTTCGCCATCCTGATGAAGCCGATCCGCCTAATGGCTGGTGAGTTTTCACTCCTGATAAGATGCCACTCATTGTGATTTCGGCGTCCCGGCGGATATTCATTGTTGTATGTATATCGATCAGGCGAGAGATGATCTCCTAATCGGTGCTCAATTCATCCGTATTCAGGTCTGCTCCTCAATGTCTTCATCCAACACAATCAACCGGCCGCACGGCACGTGCGCTGCATATTGCTTGACAGGGAACAGCATCGTCGTCTCAAGAATCAGCTTCCTACTCTGTTCGAAGGAGCCCGTTGTGTACTTTATTGCCACTTCCATGTGGTGAGATCTATGCTCAAGGAAATGACAAGAATCGATCTCTCGCTACCAATTCAGGAGCGAATCTGCAAAACTCTTCGAGGCATGTTCTCAGGCCTCCAAGAGAAGAACTACAATGAGCACCTGAAAAAACTCGACGGTATCGAAATGCGGTTCGCGAAATACTTCACCACCCAATGGCATCCGGCGCGAGAAATGTGGGCCGGATTCAGAGTAAGTGCGATTGGAAAAATTCATACGGTTCACGTCTGCACCGAGGAACCGAGTCTTGCTCATCCGGACGACTCTCTTGCAGCGTGAGGGTGTGGTGCCGTTCGCGAATGGAATGAACGACCGCGTTGAGGTTCTCTCGCAATTCATGTCGCTTGTCTGCGAAAGATCGCAGACCCTTTCTGACGCCCTGTGTAATCTCGTTTACGCTGTAACAGGTGAGTTTCGGGGGAAATGTGCGATCCGAGCCTGTCCAGAAGGTGGGGTCGAGGGAAGGGGAAACAACAACAATTAAGCAGTGGAATCGATGTTGGGGGAATCCCGACGATGGCGACGACCATTGATTCGGGACTGAAATATACAATCGACTCCTATTTCTCGACAGGCATCATAGAACAAACGAACACGGATCGGCTGTTGTGTGACATTCGAGAATATCACATGAAAATGGTCGAGCACGAAGCTAGACTCATCTCCTTATGTTGCGATTATGCCGCCCTGCATGTCTTGACGCAAGTTCGGATATCCCGGTTAGTATCGGACAGCATGCATTACGAAGTGGAGGATGCTAATACATACATCCATGCATTAGCAGGAGCGGACAGAGAATTAATTTTTCGGAAACAGAAAATCCCTTTCTCGGGAACAGAAAATTTATTTTTCGTCGATCACCAGTGAGCTTGCAACTTCGAAGCGACTTTCTCGAGAAATGAGGCGTGGCTCGCATAGAGGGCTAGTTCTTGGCTCAAAGGCATCCAGCGCACTTTACCCGCGTCTGAGCCCGCCGAAAGCTTCATGTTGCCCACCGTGTGCCCCCTCTCGTCGTGGTAATTCACAGCCGTGGTCTCCATCCAGGCATTATCCGTGTTTCTGGGATCGTCAACGTAACCCTCATATATCGTCTCGCCTTTTTCAAAAAACTTCTCGACCAGCTCTCTTTGATTTTCCGACAGTCCAGTGTCGGAATTCATGGCTTCTTCGAGGAATTCTCTCTTGAGGGTTAGGTTCACCGTTTCACCGGGGTCGACCATACCTCCCGGGATGGCCCATTCTCCATTATCCTTCCTTTGAATGGCGACGAACTCCAAGATTGGCATCAGCGTGGTCTTGTCGAAGACCTGTTTTCCTTGCTCATCTCTCTGCCAACGAGTGACGATAGGGTCCGCGGCGTGATTTGGTCCATAGCGGCCGAGGCGACCTCTTCCAGCGATCCCAGTTCGTCCGTGAGGATTCCGTGGGAGACCGTTGACCACCTCATATTCCCCTTCATGGGACTTCCGGTTGACTTCGCCGTCGACCTCGTTGAACTTCATGGGAGAGTCGACGCCCGTTATTTTCGGATCCGACCAGGGCCTATTTCTCAAGACCTCTGACTCGTATTCGGTGGGCTGGTATTCGGGAAAGTCCACTTCCCACGAGACTTTCTCTACGGGGACTTCGGCTCGCCTGATCTCAGTTCCGGCGTAGAAGCCGTTGCGACAGTTGTTGTGTACTTGACGCATTTTCTGTAATGTGTCGGCGTACTGGAACTCGGCTGAGTTCTCGTATTCGCACATGTCTAAGGCCACTTCGCAGCTCTCTCGAACAACGTCCTCGGGATCCGTGAGATATTTTTTCAATAACTCCATACAATCGTCGGTCGCTATACTCCCGAGAGCTTCAGCGCATTCGTGCCGCACCATGGCCAGTTCCGCGGTGTTTTCGAGACATTTCGTCAAATATGGAATCGATTCGATAGACTGGAGCTGACCGAAAACGAAAGCCACTTCGTGTCTGAAGAGCGCGGACGATGGGCAGAAGAGGGCTTCGCCGAGGATTTTTATTGCTCCAGGAGAACCAAGATTCCTCAGGGAAAACATGGCGCGATATCTGGAAATGAGAGGGAAATAGTTTGGATTCCGAGATTCATCGATGACGTCATCCGCACGGAAATCATCGTGAAGCAGGAAAGAAATCAGTGTACCGTTCCCAGAGAGAGTTCTTAGGGTCGATAAGTATCTCTCGGAGCTCTTCGATTGTTTTGCTGTCCTTCTCGAAGGGTGGTGTAGGATCGATAGAAGAGTAGTTGCAATTTCCGAGGTCGGATTCCTTGTAGGCCGCGCTGTGGATGAATTCTATCCGCCGCAGAGCCAGTTGACAAGTTTCCGCGATGACCGGGTTGGCGTCGTTCTTGTGTTTCTCCAATACAGATCTAGCCTGTTGGCATGCAGTAGGAGCGCCGGGTTAGATGCCGAGGTTAGACCCCTCCCCTCGTCTGTTCGTTTCCAAAGGATGGGAATTCAAAAAGCAAAATCCTCTTCTGACCTCTTGGTGAAGAACTCCGATAGCTCCGAGTGCTTCTCCGGCCTCGTGTCGGGCTATGGCTTCCATGTTTGCGTCGGCGAGGACTTTGACGAGCGTCGGAATCGCCTTTGGGTCTCGAGTTTGTCCGAGACAATAGGCTAACTCGTGTAAGAGGAGAGCTGACTTGTCGCCGAACGCTTCACTGATGTAAGGAACGCCACCCTCTGAGGAAAAGATTCGAACATAAGTTCCCTCGGCTCACCTCCGGCATGATGGCGATGTCTTTCCGTAAAACTTCCTGGGAATGATCCCCGGGATCATGAAGTGTAAGATCTCTGAGAAGACTCTAGAATCTCACCGAGGTTCTTCAACGTGAACAAGGCTCGGAATCGTTCCTTCAGAGGTCTCTTCGGATCGTTGAGAACGCGACCGATCTGTCGTAGTTGGTTTTCACCGACTTGCGCTTTCGAGGATCCGTTCGTGGTTACCATTGTGCTGGATATCTCGGATCCGATTCTGTAAACGATTGATATCGAGCGGCCTACGGATACGGAACCCCAAGTGTGGTGCTTCACCGCAAAGTGGAACAGTCCTCGGACAGCCGGTGTGATGGATGCCACTGTCGATCGGAGAAGTCAGTAACTTCTCATCAGCTCGACTAACGCAAGGCTTGAATGGCAGAAGTCGCTTTGTAATGACCACAGACGAGCATTCAATGCATCCAGGGGGAAGCCATCGGCGATCTCAAGTGAATCGCTGATACTCCAAGTCGAACACTGAAGTCACTGAAGCCAAGTGTTTTCGCGGTGGAAGTCGCTACACACAGTCGCACGCGTGCGAATTGTTCGGAGGCGGTGCCACGGGGAGGTCTTTAACCTTTGCTTCTCGCTGCGCGCGTCTCGTTCTCGGGACCATCGCGCAACAAGGACACCGAATTACGCGTGCATGGGAAAATGTGGACTGTTTCATGGACACCAATGTACACATCTTTTCCAGGACTTACAAATTCTCTGTTACCCAAACCCTGAACGAATCCACTTACCTCGTATCCTCGGTCGCGGGCAAAGGGACAGTTCAACCCGGGAAGAACTTCTCGTGTAACTGCGCGTTCCACCAGAGTTACCAGCTCCCCTGCAGTCACGCGTTCGTAGTCGCGATGGCTCACTCAATCCCAATGCAAGATTGCCTCATCCCGGACAAATGGCGTCGAACTGAACCTTTCCCTGTCGATATCATGAGCGATCTCAGCGAGGGGCCGGGCTCGGAAATGAAATACAGCGACAAGGTACCAAACTCACGAGGGTTATACGCTGCTCCCGAGAATTCCCAAGACGAGAAAGTGGTGTCGAAAACATTCACTCGGGAGATTCCCCGTTTCCAGCTTGCGAAAATGCGAGAGATCACCAACGGACTTGCGACCCTTGCGGCGGTCAGCAATCAGGCGGACTTCAACAACATGTTCACCGTGATCAATCAACTTTACACGGCGTGGACGAGGAATGCTGGCCATAGAGTACAAGTGAACATCACACCTCCTACGATAACGAAAACCGGGGTTCCCGTCAGTACTCTGGAAGACGAGGAAGACATGGATATCACGAACGGCGCGACAAAACACCTCAACGACGACCCGAGCCTGAGTACGGAGAAATTTTGTACTTATTTATTCGATCGGCGTATCATCGGATCCGTATATGGGAGCGAAGCTATTCTGAGGAGGGAACTCGACGTTCGTTTCAGACTCCACATCATCCGTAGGCGTCAAGGTGTCAACGAGTTCTACGGGTTCAGTGACGATGAAGCTTCCACCGGAAGATACTGTGTTTGGATTCGCGGGAGGCCATTTGGGAGCCGAAGAGCATCTCGAGGAGTACGGCGACCTCAACTGTTTTACGGCTCCTTCGGGTGGTCCCGTGGAGAGTACGGGCAACATGAACCTTTTCGAAGACCTCCCAGGTAAGAGTTTCTTCCCTCGCTTCGCGGCTTCCGCTCTTGGTTTCGATGAGGCTCGTAGAGGATCGCTCAATCGGAAATTTCCTCTGATTTTTTCAGCTGGCGGACGCGAGAACAGTCCTGTTTTATTGTCGATAAAGGATGAAGAAGACTCGAAGGACGATTGTGACGGAACTAAAGGGCTGAAGTGGGACAACGTTGAGAGCTACAAGCTTCTGGACTCCATAATCGGAGGCGATATAAACATGGACGAGCCCGACAAGTAGACGCGAGAAGGGACAGTCTCCTATATGTAAGCTTATCGCTATTAGAGCCTGTCGCGACTTTGGCGGACTCTTGTCGCTGGATAGCCATGAACTTGACCGTGAGGGCTCCTGTACACCAGGCGTGCGTGTGGATGAGTAACGTTGAAAGAGTCTGTGACGCGCTGATTTCGTGGCCGATTTCCGTCTTGTCGGCCGAACGACAGGACCGCGGACACGAACCGTTTTCGCGAGATGATGCTTCGCGGAGGTTCGCGTGACAGACTGGAACAAGGATCTCTCTCAACAAGGAAACCCGGGGTGGCCCGAAACGGTCGAGAGTTTTTTCTTCAAGTGACGACAAAGCGTTGTACGATGTTTCGAGAAATCGAACGCATTTCCCTCGAATGCGTCATAGCGTTCATGGCATGAGAGAAGATATTCTTTAGAAGCTGTACAATATCACTTATATTTACTCGAAAGGGACATTCAACTTGTAAAAAGAGATTGAACAATTGATCACTGAACTCGGACCGACGAATGCGGATCCCTCCGACGCTAGAGCAAACTCACAGCAGTTGTTTATGACATGTTTTTTTAGATGCGAAAATCTCTACCGGTAGTGCGACGAAAAAACTCGGATTAGAAGAGAGTTAGAACATGGATTGGATCTTTCGGATTAGCTTTCGGGACGGAAATAAATTGTGTGCGATAACTGGAAGCGCCTCCGTGTTCCTTTTTTTGGAATATTATTGTTCCGTTCGGGAACGTACCCGAAGCGACAGCTCGATTCACCCTGGGAATGGCTGGGGCCATGGGGGAAAGCTATAAAGGACGAAGCTGTTGCCTTCTGCCAGATTTTCAATTCACTCCCAGCGAGCGAGCTGAATTCAAGTCCTAGGGGCAGGAAATCCGGAATCTTGGATCTGACAAGCGCAATCTGGGAACCATTGTGCTACGTGCTACTCCCTGGATACCTCGTCGTGCTGCACTCCACGGGCGCCGTGAACTAGTTCCGGAACCCGCGAAAGTAAGTTTCCCGTGAAAGCCAAAAGGTAAGGGAGCTCAGAAACGAAGCTGATGCTCTGATGGCGGTTCCGGGGTGAGAAAAAAGCACTTCTCCAAATCTGCGAGCACCCCTCCAACTTCATCCTGCAGAGGATACAGGCGCCGAATAGTGCCTCATGCTGAAGATATGGGAATTCAAGTCTCATGACCAGTTTTTTTATTGGATTTATTGGATCAAGTATTCTCAGTTTACAGATTACGGCGGGTGTTTCGCTCATTTATATATTGGTTTCCCTTTGAATGGAATACCGGGAAACATTCAACATTCCGCGCTCCTCTTCGGAGCTTTCTCTCACGGTGGCATCCGACAGTTATCGGAACGCCTGCACCGGAAGCGTCGCACCAAACATGTGTCGAGAGCGAATTCCATCGAGGAACTTTCTGCCTCGCGACACAATGCACACGAATAGTTCGAAATCCTCTGCAAGCTTCCTTGGTGCACAGTTGCAGACCACGGCTGTCGTCTGGCTCTGTATCGCCTCGTATGCGCGAAAAATTAAGAACTATATTATATTACTTGATTCTCTACCACCCGTCATCCCTTTGTCCCCCCGCTTCCAAAGTTGAGAGGATGAAGTTCCTACTTCCAATTATCGTTCTCGATTACCCCGAAATTTGTACACGCTATTTACAGCTCTCAGAGAACACTACTCGAATACAGGTGGGAAACACCACTTGGAACCAAAGATAATTCGAACACCACGAAGACAGAGTCCAACGGCAGCTACTCTCCTCGATTTCCCACGGGCTTCTCGATCCCGCTGCAGACTATATGGTTGGATGAATCTTGATCAATCGGTGATTACCGAAACTTCCGACGCGCAGGGGGACTCTTCGCGTCCCTGACCGTCCCACTTGACCGTTTCCGCTTTTGTCGTTGTTCTCCTCTCTAACACTCTCTAGAAGAAGGAGGCGATTTACCTATCAGCAAGCTTGAAAACTCTCTGAGCTGGCGCAGAACACAATACAATTCACGTTCGTCGCTGCATTCGGCCGCCATCGAGTACTGAAATCACTCTGGATGAGGCGGGCCGGGGTATCGCTCGGCGAGTGGACCCTCCGAGACGGAAGGTCACGACTGTACAACAGATGCATGGAGGGTGATCAGTGAGGTTGTCGAGATTCTATTCTGCGCTCACCACTGGAAACGACATTCCGACACTCGTGCCGATCGATCGCTAGTTCCCGAGACAAATTCTATGTAAAGATCCATCCACGGAACCCTTAAGAAAGTCTACCTGTTTCTTCTCTGTTTTCATCATTGGTTCTCCTTCAACTGGCAGATGCCGCGCTCATCGTCGTCTGGGCCTTGTGTTTCTTTCCCAAATGTCGATATCGTTTGACGTATCCTTCGACGAGAGCTTTGATTTTGGCTGGGTTGATTTCACCATTTTTGTTATGACAAATCTGTAGGGAAAACAATGGTTCAGCTCCAGAGCGAATAGAGAAGCGAAGCGAATCCCCTAGCCTTGAGCATGAGGTACTATTGAGCCTATCGTAGGCCGTGGACGACGGTGGGCTCCGCCGAATCAACCTGTCATTCTCGATTCGAACGAAATGAATTTAGCTCACCTTGGGTACACATTTCTTCATTATCAGCTTGTAGTCTTCCTTGCTGACTTGCTTCTTATTGTAGAACGGTTTCAACGCCAGTTTCACCTCTTCGACCACTCGTTCCTGTCTGTGGAGCTTCTGGAGATACTTTTCCTTGACCTGCATTTCTACGGCCGACGATGGCAACTCATCGAGAATCTTCATTTGAGCTTCGTCCATCTTTACGTAGCGCTCCTTATTGCTCTCATCGCCGTCCTTCGCCTCCGCGACGAGCTGCCCGGCGGTTTTCACAACGACCTACGGGAGGAGAGGATAATTAGACGATAATTCCAACTTATAATAATGATGACGATATTGAAAAAAGCATGCGATTGATCGAGCTGAATATAAATCGTGTCGGACTATCTGACCGACAACCCGACTTCAGAGCTCATGAGAGAACTGAGGACTGTACCTTCTGTTTCTTCTTCTGTCTCCTCTTCGTCGATCTGACGACTCCAGCCGCGATCTGGTCAAATACGCCCCCTGGCTTTGAGGATCCTTCTCCGTTATCCTCAGCGCTAAGCGGCGTAGGTGGCGTGATTGGTTCGTTGAATAGCGGACTATCGCCAGGAGAATACGGGCTGCCCTCGACATGGCCGGTCGCCTGATGATATTCCCGAGAAGAGACCGCCGTTGTCATCGTCGTCGACGCGGAGGTGGTTACCGACGACGATAGAGACACTTGTGACATCGGAGCCGACGAGGTCACCATTTGGGCAGTCGCAGCCTGCATCGGCATCATGTACGGGTTCACCAAAAACGGATTCATCACAATGTACTGTGGCTGTACAGTTTGAGCTTGATTGAACAAGAACGATGGCACGGGGGGTGGTTCTAATTTTGGGGGAGGGGACGGCGGCTTCTCCTTGCTCGGTGGCGGCGGCAGGGGAGGAACCGGGGGAGCTTTCGGAGACACTTTCCGTTTGTCTCGATTTTTTGGCGATTTGTTGTCAACGATAGGGAGCACAGCAACCGTTGGTTTACCCTGGGACGAGGTCACGGCGACTGGAGAATCTTTCTCAGGTGAGTTCGATATTCTGACCTGATCAGGCTCGTCATTCGTAGGCGTGCTTGATGGAGAATCTCCTAGAGGCTCGCATGGGTCGTATTCGTCCTGATTTCTGTTGTCAGGCGGTGTCTGAGGACCCTTGGGGGCGGGACTCTTCTTGACCGGGCTCGATTTCTCGGCTTTATCCAGCGGAGGTTTATCGTTACGAATGTCCTTCTTCTGCAGCGGCAGCAGAGGATCGATCTCCTCCTCGGACGACTCGTCGCCGAAAATGTTTTGCAGAGCTTTCTTCTTGTAGTTCACGCTGATCACCAGGTTGTCGCCCTTCTCGGAGATCGACTTGCTTGTCTTGATCATTTTCCCCACGCCCGAAGAATCTGTCGAGGAAGAGGCGAAAAATTAAATTCCATCTCGATCGGACACGGAAAGGTTTCCGAGGGTGATCGACAAGAGTGAGCCGAATTTTCAACCTACCTTCTTTGTTGTTGTTCTGCTTTGGATCCGACTTGACTTCGAGTGAGATCTCACGTTCAGGACTCGTATCCTGACTGAGATCGATGACGACACGTTCTCCTTGATCTTTCGACGTCTTCTTGTGCTGGTTCTTCTTCTTTCGGCGTTTCGGAGGTGCCAGAGGCGGGGCTTGTCTGAGAGCGTCTTTCGGAGAGTCAACAGCCGACTCTCCATCGGAGATGTGGATACTTCTCGATCTCGACCTCGACCAGCTCCGGCTATTGGATTTCCGTTTCTTTTCGGGCAGCTTCTTCGAATCCCGCGGACCCGGCGACGCCGACCTGCTCCGACTTCTGTCGATGGCTTTCGTCTTTTTGTGGCTCTTCGACTTCTTCTTCTTTTTCGATCTCTTTTCCGTGGTTTTCTGCTTTCGTTGCTTGGACTTCTTCCGTTTCTCCAGCGGGGAACGGGGAGACCTCGATCGCGCCCGTCGCTTCGGACTCCGTGACGTGGGGCTAAGGGATCGCTTCCGCCGCTTCGTCTTCGAGCCGGATCGGCGCTTCGTCTTCAACACCGGCGAACGGCTCCGGCCTGGTGACTGTCGAGTTCCTCTCTTCGGGGAACGGCTGCGGCCTTTAGCCCGAACCTGTCCAATCGATCGACTCCTGGCGTTGGGCGATCGGCTCCGTTTCGGAGATCTGCTCCGCGACGACAAACTCCGTCGGGGTGTTCGACTCCTCCGAACTGGTGATCTTATTCCTGGCGATCGGCTTCTACCCCTCGGAGACCGACTCCTCCGCTTCCGCACTTGGTAAACTTCCCTGTCAGGTCGCCGCGTCTGTGGTGAGAAAGCTACAGCGTTAGAAGGCGACGAATAGGTTGAGAAATTCAAATCTCACACATACATAAACGAAGTTCCGGAGTAACGCTCAGGGAGTAATTTACCTTTTTATTGGCCGTCGCCACGACGGTCAGCGTTGTCTGCAGGTGGTTCGTGGCCGTGATTTCGTTGCCGCTCTGTCTGTAGTTCCTGTTTTTGGTGCTCGAATTGAGTTTCTTCCAAGTCGATGCGTTCCCGGCCGCGTTGTTAGCTTCGTCCCTCAACGGCGATGGGCTGAGAACGACCTTGCGAACGGCTGTCCGATCCAGCACCAGTGGTGCCTTGACCGGACTGTCGTCACTCGACGAATCTCCACTGAACCTCACCGACAGAGGACTCGGAGACCTCGACCGAAGAGGCGCCAACGGATTCCGCTGACTCCTCGTTCGTCGTTTCCGGCGTTTCAGATCGCGAATCCTTAGGGAAACATGGGAGCCGTTCGAGTTGCTCTCGGAGAGTTCCCCTTCTTCCAGACCGGTTTTTCGTTTGAGTTTGAAAGAAGTCGCGCCATTGGTTTTGACGACTCCAGAAGCGAGCTTGAGTGGGGGGGCGGCATCCTTGCTTTTGCTGGGCTCTTCGGTTCGCTGCTCGTCCGCTTCCTGCGTCCCTTTCGGGGTACCCTGAGCGAGAAGATAAAGATTACTATCAGAAATCACGTCCGATTTTCCCCCGGGACCGGCAACACCTCCTGGAGACGCTCCGGAAAAATTGAACGATAGTGAACAGAAATCCTCTGCTGATCCTCACCTCATCGTTTTCGGCGGCTTCGGCTGCTTCCAACCGTTTGAGCATCTCACCTTCGCTGGAACTAACCTCCGAGGCGGCTTCGAGGTATCCCTCGACAGCATCGCTATCGGATTCACCCTCGTCCGGCAATGAGCTTTCCCCGCTGGAGAAGTCTTCGAGGTTGTCGTAGAGATCTCTGCCAGATTTCCGATTAGTATCGTCCTCGGTTTTTCCGGCTTGATGAGGATTGAGCTCGGTGTCGCAACGCTCTTCATCCTTGGGCTTCAATTTGCTCTTGCACAACGTATCGAGGACGTTGTTCAGAGCGTTGAGGGCTTCCTCTTCTCGTCTGAAAGGTTTTTCCGGTTCTTTCGGAGGTGACTTCTCCTTTACGAGCTGCTCTTCGAGAAGCTGCTGGTTCAGATCGTCGTCGCCTTCGCTGTCCCCTTCGACGACCACCGCGAGCGACGAGTCCTCCGACTGATCCTCCTGGTCGAGCGTTTTGTCGTCCGACTTCTCGTTATCGGTCTGTTCGTCTAATGAGTTCTGACTCTTATCCTCGGCATCTCTGACCTCGAGCTCGGACCGAGCTCCTGAAATCGCCGGGGACCCAGCTTTAAAAAAAGTAAGGACGAGCAACAGGGGTCGTGAGAACCAATGAGAACCAAGAGATCGTTATAATCCATCGGCAGAAACCCATATGTATATACGGCGAGGTAATCACAAACTACCTTTAGCTTCTTGGTTTTCTTTCACTACGGCAGTGGCGAGATCCCTGATGCGATCCAAAGATTCGCTGAGAGCTCCCGTGGATGCCGAGGCCGGAAGGCGCCACTCGCCGGTCTCGAACGCATCGAAAGCATCGTCCTGGGAGCTTTTCACCGGATTTCCCTCGGTTCTCGGCTCAACGAAGGGAACCTCGGTGGCGTCGTCCTGTCAGAGATAAATTGTATAGGAATAAAATCGCGTCGTATCAAGCCGGATGAAAACTTTCCACTCCGAGTCCACTCAGCTGCGATATGCTGCTAGGCTGGCGTATTGAGTAAACAATTGACGACGAGTTGTTGATAAGAAAAATTCTGGCCATGAGTTCGAGAGAATCCGGAGGACAAACGACGCAATAGAACAGAACGAAAACGATTCGGTCAAACCAATGTCTGGAATAATTGCGGAAGCTCTCGGCGGCGCCGGTGTTCGCTCGTAACTCACCTGGGCATCGATGACCAGAGCGTCGTCGTCCTCGTTCTCAGAATCCTGGCTGTTCTGGTGAGACGAAGAATTGTTCTCAAGCGACGAGGTGTCTTGGCTCGGGACACTGTTCTTCTCCAAACCGAAATATATATCGTCTACGGATTCAGCTCGCGGAGATTCATCCATGTCGATACTCGCTCGCTCGGAGTGCACGGGCAACCTGAGCAGAAATGAAAACACGCTTTACATCACGCTCACTGGAAACAAAGCATCCCTACACGACTGGCGAGCGACTGACTGGCTGAGAGCGAACGTATCGATGCCGTCCAACTTCAGCATCCTCCCGACACGGCCGAGACACGGCAGCTTCCCCCCTCCCTGACCAAGAACTCATCCAAAACAACATTCGTGGATCAATGCAGTTCTTAGAAAGTGACAAATATCGCAGCACCTCTCAACGAAGTTCTGCATTGATCCAGCCGTCTTCCGTACCGGAACCCCAGACAGCATGCTGACCAAGACCGAAAGGCGCTTCGAGCCAAGCTCTGAGCCGAATGCGACAAACCCAGGGGAGAAGAGGGGTGAATTCCGAACCTCCCAGCGGCGACTACCGGCCAGGACGAATTGAAAATTTGCGCTTCGGATCGGCTTCCCCTGATTTCGGAGTCGGTCGACGAAGGCGAATTCCCATGGCGTAACGTTCGTTCGCCCGGCATTCGCTTTCGGGCTCGAATATGAACGGAGTTCACTGGGTATGCGACGTGGGAGATTGGGAGCATTCTATGTTCGACAGACTTGAGTTCGGGGTGGTTTGTCGTCAGAGCCCCTTCTCTATCGAATCCAGCATCGGAACGGCGGGTTTCAGAGATTTCCCCGCAGCAGTCACACACGTTTGACAGTAGGGTCACTAACCCCACAGTTCGGGGCCGAGGCTCTGGATAGCAGAGTCCAAGGGAATTCAGTGGCTAAGCGAAAGGAACTTACGGGAGTCCCGAGAGCGGACCTCGGATGAACGTAACTCAAACACTCCTCACTGATCGCTTAGGCTCTTAGTGATGCTGCTGGAGGAGCATCTTGACTGAGGTCGGCCTGAACCAGAACCCATGAGTCTTCTCACGCCCGTACCATGAACGGCGGTAGCGCGAGCTTGGGCTCTATAGGGTGAACAGAAGTAAGTTTGCCGGGCGATCGGTTCACACGTTTGTTTTCATAATCGACGACTTTGTTTCACTCGGACTCCCAATATACAAGTTAGGGTCCGGTTGATCGAAGCTCTCGGCGGTGGTGGTTTCTGTTTGTTTCGTAACGGCGCCAATTTCGAATTTGTTGCTCCTTGCCGAGCATTAGTCCGCTCGCGCTTCGCAGATCATTTTCCAATTAGTTTGCGGGCCGAGGAGCTGTGTTGGTCCGGGATTTGAAGGATTATGATCGGATGAGATCTGTACGACTCCGAAATTCAGATTTTTTCCTCCCGAAAGCGATGGGCGCTCAGCGGTCTTCACGGTCAATGCTGAGGTCACGTGAACATAGAAGCTTGCCTCGATGCCGTCGTTTCTCGGTATTTCGGCCAACGAGCTCCGGTCGAGTCGCATGAAGTTCCGATCTGAGAGTTTCCGGAGTACCGACCAGATTCTAGGGGATCCATAACGACATCATGAGGCTCGGCGGAGCCGACAATAAACTTCAAGGGAAGCTTCTATGTCGAGACGAATGCTCCGCCATTGAATTGAAGAGTCGTCAGGATCGGCAGAGCACATATATACGGCACGTGTGGTGTGCGCTATTCGTTAAGAGCTCGTCGAATTCGTTCTCCGCAGTTTTACTTTAAACGTCCGAGATGCTGCGCGCTGGAAGCATCCTCAGCCGCCTCGGCTCGTCGGTCAGCCACTCGAGCGCTCCAAAAAGTGAGAGTTCTTCTGCGCCCTCTTTGACGATAGTAGCTTCTCGAACGACCGGTGCGCGAAGTTGCGTCATACAACCTCTAACCCGAGAAAAGCCGAACAGCCAGAATTTCTTCCCCCTCCCATATTCCCGAGCGCTCGTGAAACTCTCGAAGCGACTTCGGTCAAACGAATTCCATAGAATAAATCCATTTTCGCATAAGTTCGCACTTCTTCGGGCTCTTATCACACGCGCCACGGGTCGCGCGGAGACGCCGGTCGCTACGAAACTTTTTTTGGCGTTCGATTTCCTCTTGGCAAATGCGGTGAGTCATCGCAGAGCTCATGCGAGACTCCAATGTCTCCCGTGCTGTCGTTCGAATCGGGTATTCGATGAAAGACGGACACTTTCTCGAAAATTCTCAGAGCCTCGGTGGGCCCCCTCGAGCGTCACTCTAACGCACGTGCCTAGCCGGGAGCCTCTGTCCGGGAGATTACCCCCTGAGAATGTTTTGGGAAAACTCCACCCGGGTCTCCTCCGGGGCCGGTGTTTGTTCGCCTCTCTCGGAGTTCTAATAATGATTGGAAATCGCAGGTATGATCATCCAAGGTTCGCCGGCTATCTACCGCATGGGCGGTGCGAGCGGACTGAGGTTCAAATCAGATTCAAAAGTCAAAGGAGCGGTTATCGGAATCGATCTGGGAACCACCAACTCCTGCGTTGCGATCATGGAGGGGAAACAGCCCAAGGTAATTCAATGGTTATTGCACCGAGAGATTAGAGATTCTCCCCGACGTTCTCCCGTCGAATCCTGGAGCTAGCGGCGATTCCGGCATCGCTCTAACGTTCTTCCCCAATTCGTCCTCTGAAGGTCATCGAAAACGCAGAGGGATCCCGAACAACCCCGTCGGTCGTTGCATTCACAGGCGACGGTGAGCGTTTGGTGGGTATGCCCGCTAAACGTCAAGCCGTCACGAATGCACAGAACACTCTGTCAGCGACGAAGCGTCTCATTGGGCGCAAGTTCTCCGACGCCGAAGTCAAGAAAGACATGAAGACGTCATCGTACAAGATCGTTCAGGCCAGCAACGGCGACGCCTGGGTCGAAGCCCAAAACAAGATGTACTCGCCATCTCAGATCGGAGCTTTCGTTCTGATGAAGATGAAGGAGACCGCCGAGAGCTACCTGGGCACTTCCGTCAAGAATGCTGTCGTGACCGTTCCGGCTTACTTCAACGATTCTCAGCGTCAGGCCACCAAGGCAAGTCGATTAGTCGAAAGCTCTCTGAATTCTCGGAATTCCGATAACTGCACTGAATATGTTTTCCTCCCGGAGGGCTCTTTAGTTATCCCTCAAGAAAATCCGATGTGTCTTATCTATTCGATCTGAGAAGAGAAAGATCTAATAGGTCTACTCCCATTCGCCCGCAGGACGCCGGTCAGATTTCCGGTTTGAACGTGCTGCGTGTCATCAACGAACCCACTGCTGCGGCCCTGGCTTACGGCATGGATAAGACAGACGACAAGGTCATCGCCGTCTATGACTTGGGAGGCGGAACGTTCGATATTTCCATTCTCGAAATCCAGAAGGGGGTCTTCGAAGTGAAATCGACCAATGGCGACACATTCCTCGGTGGAGAAGATTTCGACAACACTCTCGTGAATTTCCTGGCAGGGGAATTCAAACGCGATCAGGGAGTCGACGTGACCAAGGACCCAATGGCCATGCAACGATTGAAGGAGGCTGCCGAAAAAGCCAAGATCGAGCTCTCGTCCGCCGTGCAAACCGATATCAACCTACCGTACCTCACCATGGACGCATCAGGACCCAAACACATGAACCTGAAACTGAGCCGATCGAAATTCGAAACCCTCGTTGCGGATCTCATCAAGCGAACGGTCGGACCCTGTACCAAAGCGATGCAGGATGCCGAAGTGAAGAAATCCGACATCGGAGATGTCATCCTCGTTGGAGGCATGAGCAGAATGCCCAAAGTTCAGGACACGGTCCAGGAGATTTTCGGCAAACAGCCCTCAAAGGCTGTCAATCCCGATGAAGCCGTGGCCGTTGGTGCGGCAATCCAAGGTGGTGTCCTGGCTGGTGACGTCACCGACGTCCTCCTGCTCGACGTCACCCCCCTGTCGCTCGGTATCGAGACGTTGGGTGGCGTGATGACGAAACTCATCCAACGAAACACCACGATCCCCACCAAGAAGAGCCAGGTATTCTCGACCGCCGCTGACGGTCAGACTCAAGTTCAGATCAAGGTCTGCCAAGGAGAGCGTGAAATGGCTGAGCACAACAAAGTTCTCGGCGAGTTCTCGTTGATTGGAATCCCGCCGGCACCCCGCGGAGTTCCTCAGATCGAGGTCACTTTCGACATCGACGCCAACGGAATCGTTCACGTGTCTGCCCGCGACAAGGGAACGGGCAAGGAACAGCAGATCGTCATCCAGTCGAGCGGAGGTCTGTCGAAGGACGAGATCGAGAACATGATCAAGAACGCCGAACGCTTCGCCGAAGAGGACAAGAGGAAGAAAGAAGTTGTCGAAGCTGTCAACAAGGCTGAGGGCATCGTCCACGAAACCGAGACGAAAATGGAAGAGTTCAAAGATCAGCTGCCGGCCGACGAATGCGAACAACTAAAGGAGAAAATCGCTAAGGTGCGCGAAATGCTCGCCAAAAAGGACGAAATTACCGGCGAAGCCATCACCGAAGCTACCCATGATCTTCAGCAGCAGTCTCTGAAGTTATTCGAGGCCGCCTATAAGAAAATGGCCGCTGAACGATCGACGTCCGGATCATCGTCGACCAACGAATCGAGCAGTCAGGAGAGTGATAGCAAGAAAGGGGAGGAGAAGAACTAGTTGTCATTCTTTAGATTTCATTACAGCTATGCGTCGTGAGTGAACCAAACTATGGATCGATTTGAGAAATGCGGCTAAACACGTGGTTGCTCAGTCAAGCCGTTTCAGATGTGTATATGTACTTTTTCGATCTAGTGACATTGCGCGGGGGAGGAGAAACACAGATTAATAAACTGTTCTTCCACTGAATTGGGATTTCACTGGCAAATCACTCGTTCGCTCCGCGCCCCAGGGGTCAGAGAGCGAACGCCGACTTTGGATCGTAGGGAGGGAGGATCGGGCGAGGGGCTCGGAACTACATTTTCTCTGTGAGCGTAAATATTTCACTTGATTTAAGTGGTCGACGGATGATTCGCTGGACAGTCATTTAGTTCACGAGATTGTACGTTCGCTATTCCGGGTGGGAATCTGGCGCTTTTTGCCAACAGCGCTCGACTTCACTCGGAGCGAGAACATCAAGCCAACCGAGTCCTATCCCGCGTCCTACTCCTCCAATCGAGCTGTCAAGCCCATAAGGTTGCCTCGAACACTGCTCGGTCCGTGGAAAGGTGGAGCTGAACTTCATGGCTTTAATCAAATGAATCATCGTTTCGACCTGGCGGTATTCATGTACAAATCGATTCAGGCGCGAGTGAGCTCTGCGGATCCACTCTTTTCGCGCCCCTATTTTTCTAGGAGTCGCTTTGTTGGGCCTACAGCAGAGGGATTCGGCTCTGCGGTTAGTCCTACTATGATTGCAAGGTCGTCCGTCGTAATGAAGCAGTCATTGCAATGGGAAATGAACGGTAATATGCTCCGGTGTCTCATGATATTTGCCGATGAAGGGTCACGGGATGAACCTATAATGATTACGCTTATTTGGAGCTTCGGTCCGACGCCCGTTTCGGGAGCCCGCTTCCGGGGCGGAACCAACCTGATGGCGGAAAGGTGGATGCTTCCGGCTCTTCGTTTGCAAAACGCTCTCCTAATTGCAAGAGGCCCCCTCGAGGACATGGAGGCTCAATGATGGTTGTCAGAAGTTGAGTGGAGCTCGAGACCTCGGCCCTCGCATTTCGCTCGGGCGGGGGGGGGATGGATCGGGAATTCGGAGAACGCTGATAGAGCTTTCGGAATCAGGATCGTGCAATGATAAGGCATTCAGCATCCGGAGGGCAACTGATATCTTTTTGTGAGTCTTCCAATATTTTACACAGGACCTGTCCTCGAATTCATCCTCGGTCTGTAGTCTAGGAGGAAATTACCTTTGACGATTAAGCGCATGGCCTCCGAATACCCCAGGAGATATGGAGCATCGAATGGCGTCGAGTACCGACGCTATTCGTCGCTGCTGATTAGAGGTCTCATGTTGTGAGCAAACCTTCTCTCGGTTTTCTAACGGATCCTCCACGTCATTCAATCGATGCGACCCAAAAGAGGCACAGCTGCCGCGACAATCGTCGTCGGGACCACACCCAAGAACATGTTCGGCGATGCTGTCAAAAGTTCCCTCGAGCTTTCGCCGGAGCCCCAGGCCATCCCTGTCGTCATTGCGAGGTCGGAGGTGCTCCCTCAACGCCCTTTATTCGACTCTTTCAGGCTCTTCCCGGAGGTCCGAAACCTTCGGCAATGCTTCCCTCCGCAATTTCCCTCGGAAACAAAGCAGTAGGGAAGCACCAAGGCTGTACTGGGAGAGATGCCGAAAGGATCATGCAGAAAACGGCTCCCATCATGAAGAGATGAAGAGATGCTCCCTTCGCCTTGATTAATGATGATAGAACCCGGATTTTTCGAAAAGGATTCATGCTATCAAGCATCAAGAACCCGAATAATATTCGTTTCAGAGGCTTCAGACATTTTATTTATTTATAGTAACGCTCATGATTATGACGCAGCTCCCGTAGAATCACATTAAACTAATAGTCATAAATTAACCTTTTTTTTTCGTTTTCTCGCCGCCATCCTTCGTGGTAACAACAATCGATCGGGGAAAATCAACTCAAAAATAGAACAATAGGGCGGCTGTCCCTATCAAGGCGGAACGCACACCTCCTTCGACCGTCGAAATTTTGCAACTTTGCAAAAATGCAGAGAGAAACCAAACGCACGACGCATCCTTGTGACCCGACCCTGTGAACCAGCGAAGTTCCCACCGATAAGTCAGGATCATCTCCTCCTACTGGTCTCCTGATTCCGAGCCATTCTCGTCGTCAACTTCACCGTCGTTCCGGAAGCAAACAACTCGACAATCTCAACTCTCCCCCTGCCGAAGTCAGCAGACTTGAGGTAGGGTGAAACGATGGCAGCGTTTTCCGTAGGGGGCAACCACCGATTTTTTTTGCTCATTTTCGGGTAACGATTCATAAACATCTCTGAGGTACCATTCTCTCAACTCGATTATCGAGAAAAACAGCGAAAACAAAACTGGTTTGCAAAAGCATCTATACGGCATTGCATCAATAACGACATTGCACGGTTGTGGTTGCGTCCCCTAGTAAAGACTCTCGGTTTTTTTCTGAGTGAGAGAATCCACCTCTCTGAGACTGGTCAGCCAACCGATCGACTGACTGACTGACTGAGATTGACTATCGGGTGCTTGTACGAGATTGTGGACATAAGCTATGGATACAAGTCGTGTCGGATCCGTTCTCAGTCGACGAGGTCCGTGTAATCTAGCGTTTTATGACGGTGATTATGACGACGAGAACACGCGTCGCAGTCTCCGCTGGCCGGACGAGATTATTTCGTTGTAGCTGATAATCCGTTAATGTCGTTGTTGGTGTTTTTCATTGCGACGCTGCTGGTTCTCAGAGAAAAAATTATCGCTTCACTTTGACTACTCTTCTTTTGGTCTTGCGATGAGCGGCTTCCGCCGCTCCGGTGGTTTGCGGTGGGGCTTCATGACAAATTACATGAGCTTCTGCTTAGCACAGTCCGGGCAGAGGATATCGTTCTCGTCGGTGATGAAGCCTTTGCCTACGAGAGAGCAACGGCACATTGCGCAAATGAAGCACTCGTTGTGCCAATTGCGATCCTCGAACGAAATGAAACGAGTTCCTCCGATTCCAGTTATGGGCTTGGTGCACGAGGTGCATCTCTTGGCGAACAGCTCGCCGAAGCAGTCGGCGCAGTAGGGCTTCTCATCACGCGATGTGAACCTCTGGCCCGCGAGACAAGTGTTGCAGTTCGTACAACAGAAGCACTCACGATGCCACGGCTCGTTGCGATATGTCACACCACCCGATTGGATGATCTGGTTGCACTTGACGCATCTGAAAATCAACGAATCGTCAGAACTTTGAACGCCAAGCTCATCTCGGGAGACAATCGTCGATTGGGAGTCAGAAACCCGGTACTGGAGTTTTTCCCAATTCAGTGTTGGGCTCCGTGGCGTCGGCTCCGCGAACGTACCTGGTAGCGAACTTCTCCTCGTAGCATTGTGTACAGTAGATGTCATTGTCTCGCGGAATGAACGATCTAGTGCCGATGGGGTTCTTGCAAACGCAACAGCAGAAGCATTTTTCATGCCACTGGTGACCCTTGTATTCCATTTTCTTGGTGCCTGAAAAGAAAATATATTGACTTCAGCCACAATGTTTCTAGAGATCGTCGAGTTTTCTCTAATCCTCTCTCTGTGACCGGCAGATAGGAGAGCGGATTCGTCGGACAAACGACCCGTTTCGCCAGAATTAGTGAAAATACTCGAGGACCAAACGAATAGGGGTTCCGTCGGCATCAGCGTTACTCAGTGACGACCGGGTGTCACGCTTTCATTAGTGTCGTTGTATCTAGAGGTGGGTGGGCTGACTGGCAAGCCAGGCGGCCGATAAACGAGCTTGCAGGCTCTCTGGTGGGCGACCCGTGTTTCGCTCTCGCTCGTGGGAAGGACGGGGGTGATCGCCGCGCACGGGCCTCGGGGCGTAGAGCGTGAGTCCGTAAATTAGGTCTACGGCCCAGTGGGACCAGAAACTCCATAAAGTAGTCGACTCGCTTTTAATACCTCCGCTATCCTCAGGACGGAGGAGTTGATCTCCAAACGAGCCTAGATACCAGAGAATCCGACAAATGTGCTGCGTTCGATATACCGAGAACTCCCTTCTTCTATGTGATTCTCCCCAATCCTAGATATTCAAAATTCATAGAATTCTGGGACGAATCTCGTAAGATTCCTCCCGGCAGTCAAGTTGAGTATTTCCTCTAGCCGCTGAACGAAATTTCGATGGACGATTAAAGTTGAAACCGCTGGACGGAATCGAAGATTTTCGATCTTTTCCCGAAAATTTCGCATCAAACGTGACTACCAGCTCCGCTTCCTACACGCTCCTCATAAAATATGATTACTCTCCCAATCTCCTGACGATGATTCCCTCCCGATTCCCTCCTTGCTCAGAGGCGGTCATGAGACGTGTTGCTGTATTTTCTCTGAGGCTCGCCTTCTGACACTCCCCAATCGTTTTCTCCTCTCGACTCAAACGGAAACCGGAATCCATTAGGACGATCAGGACTCCGGGCGCTTTTGAACATTTCTTCGGAAACTCAATGTGACCGTAATGACGACGGCCAGTTGCCGTCTTCTCCTATTCGTCATCGGGGAGCGAAAGCAGAAGGAAAAACTTCGGTTCTTCGACTGCGAGTTTTTGATTGTTCCGAGCCACCGCGGAAGAGCGCCGCGAGCCGTTCGGCATTCAAACGACACGGCGACCGACTCTAGCTGCTCTGCTCTTGGGTAGTCGACGCACATTAACCCCGTTGTCATCTTGAGTATGTAGGGCAATACCTCCTCCTCACGGGCGGCTTTTTCGACGAACAGCTTGCTAAGAATTCATATTAAAACGAGTTCGTGATGTAACACGCCCGTCGAGGACGAGGGTGTGAGAACTTCGGGGAGACGTCAGGACGTCTACTACGAGGGTGGCCATTGACCCGAGTCGACCAAGGGAGGTGATAATGGAGATGGGCAGAGTGATTTTTTTTTGTCGCAGGAGAGGCCCATAGCGAGAGCTGGAGATATTGAGGGCGCCATATCCCTGCCGCTCTCGTGTCGTGGCGAAGCGATGGCGCCGTAATCGACCTCCGAGGAGGACCTTGAACTTGTGTGGATCCGACCTTCCTTAATAACTCGTGGTTTGAGCGAACGACGAATGGTCAGGAGCTCTAATGAATCAGCCTCGGATCCATAATCCGGTGGTCGGTGGGATAATTGGACCGCAGTTCCTTGACACAACTTCCTTATTCCGGGGAATCGGTTCATTTTCTCAGGGAACTCCGATCCCAAACGGAACGACGGCAGACCGAAAGGATATCGAAGAGACGCGTCTCCGGGGACGGCATGCAAAACCCGATGGAAACGTCAAGTGTCTGACAACTCGTCCGACTTGTTCTAACGGTTCAGGAGCCCTTCGGAGCATGTCCAAGCGTGGCCGAGCAATCAGACCGCAAGTAAGCCCTTTTGACAGAGGGAATCTCTGGCTGCCGCGGCACCAGAGAGGAAACGTCGCTTTTTATGGAAAATCTTTCCCAATATCGACCGAACCAACGAAAGTCGATATCAGAAAGATTTGGAACATGGAGCTGCGACCCCTGAGATCGGGCTGACGAGCTGCCTTCCAAGCATCGCTGGAATTCCCTGAGGCTTATCGCGAAAAGGAGAACTTCCAGAGACTACCGAGAAAAGCATACACGACTCGGGAGCAGAATGTTGGACCCGGGTAAGAAGTATATGTCGAGCTCGGTAATCACTGCCCGCATCCTGATTGAATCTCTTATTCATTACACGGGTTGGTCTCCTCGCATCGTATTCGCTTCTGACCCTGTTCGCGACAGGTTTTCCTCTAACGCAGCCGAACGATCGCAGTCGAAAGGGTACCGGGTCGCCCCAAGGGACATGAGAGTTCGCGTACACCTTTCTCACTTTCTTCCTTCCTCATCGGTCGAGCCGGAAGCCTTTGTTCTAACATGATGTTTGCGTGACGCCGTTCGACGCCACACGGGCCCGTTCGAGTCTCTCTAGTCGGCCCTTTATAGAAAGGGTACAGCCGAATAACGTGGCGATCCCGGCTACGATCTGTTTTGGAAAACTGACTAGATAGGGTGATAGCTCTCGGTTAGTAGAAGACTTTTTCACGAGTCTCCCAGAAATCGACGCGGCCAGTTTCGAGAAAAAGGTCAAAGTTCAAAAATCTTAAAATGCGATTTTCTCGGAAACGGTAAGAGCTAGAGGGTCGTGCTTGGTCTCGTTGGAAAGCTGGCAAAAAATGCCACAATTCTAGCCCGGTCCCATTTTCCTCAGTACTTTTCATCATCATTTTTTTCCGAATTTTAATTTTCTTCAAGCTCCCAGACACCGAAGACCTTCGTGAACATGGATGACACTATGTCACAAATAAACCCCGTAAACCCATGTACACGCACACCGAGTTTCATCAAAATCGGAATAGTCCAAATAGGTTCATTCGCGAACACTTTATTCCCTACCACTGATTTCCATGCTTTTTCGGTAAAGGCCCATTGCCGCTCCCAATCGCTATTCCCTGGTCTGACTCTGACCCAGGATCTCGCGGGACACATTTGAATCTTCCCGCGCATCGAGCAGACGCTGCGCGCCCTCCTTGGTACTACACTTCGATCGAATTGACCGGCGGGGATTTTTATTTTTGATCACGATTATACTTAGGAGCATGACATAGATCCCGAATCAGTCTTCGTCACTATCTTCGTTAAGAACGGGAACGGTAGCTCCTTCCCGGAACAGCGACTCAAGAATCTCCGCAGGTCTGACGATTCGGGAGAAAGACGTTCTCCCTGTCGGATTCGGATTCTCAGCTCGCGCGCGAGAGGACTTGATCCAGACTGAGACATCAGAGTTCGTCAGACAGCTCTTTGGAGCAAGAGATTCTTTGGCTCTGATATTTGATGGAACGTATATTCGTCGCGGTAAAAGCGCAAACAACTCGTACCAGAGAAAATCGTACCCAGTGCAGAAGAAAGCGCCACTTTGTAAACCGTTTACCACCTGTACAACCACTGGATACGTCATCGACATGCTGGGACCCTACAACGCGAATGTCAACGATGCCAAAATCATGGTGGACGCGATGCGAGACCCGACTGGTCTAGGCGGTTTCTTGAGAGCGGGTGACATGTGTTTCGTGGATCGAGGCTCCCGGGATGTGAAGACTCAGCTAGAGGAACAGGGTCTCACTGTCTACATGCCGGCCTTAAAAGGTCATCGCAGACAATTGCCCACGGATGAGGCCAACGCTTCTCGATTCGTGACGAAAATTCGATGGGCGGTAGAAGCTGTACACGGTATAATCAAACAAAGATACAGACTCCTGGATCATCGAGTTGACAATGATCTGCTTCCGAAGATTGGAGTTCTAACAAGGATCGCTTGTTATTTGAACAACCGTTTCGGGAAGCGCCTCCAATCCGATCAGGGTATGTTCGATGAGGTTCTGGGACGCATGCAGCAGATGCTACAAGTCCCGAATTCATTGGGTCAAGAAGCTGAAGTAAATGGATGGAACAGAGTGAGGCGGCCATGGTCAACCATTACCTCTGACTCGATTTCTGACTTCCCGATACTGACAGAGAAGGATCTCAAGATCCTATTCACTGGAACCTACCAGCTCTCCCAATCTGTGTCTTATCTGGCTGAACTGCTGAACGAGGACAAGACGATCAACCTGAAGTTTCACCGGGACCAAACCAACATCCTCAAAGTAGAGGTCCGGTCGAGACATGTTGGGAGCAAGAGCTACAGGTGTTACATCGATTACGAGCCCGAAACGCTAGGTTATGCGGGAATCAAACGACATTACTGCGAGTGCGCTAATGGCGCTCGGACAGTCGGCTGCTGCTCCCATGTAGCGTCCGTCGTGTACTATCTATCTTATGCGCGATATCTCTCCCGAATCGTCAGACCTGCGGAGATTCTTGAGTCGCTGTTCCGGGATGGAGCTACCGTTCCTGTTATCAACGAAGATAGTGACGAAGACTGATTTGGGATCTATGTCATGCTCCTAAGTATCATCGTAATAGAAAAATAAAAATCCCCGACCGGTCAATTCGATTGAAGTGCAGTACCAAGGAGGCGCGCAGCGTCTGCTCGATGCGCGGTAAGATTCAAATGTGTCCCGCGAGATCCTGGGTTAGCGTCAGACCAGGGAATAGCGATTGGGAGCGGCAATGGGCGTTTACCGAAAAACCATAGAAATCAGTGGTAGGGAATGAAGTGTTCGCGAATGAACCTATTTGGACTATTCCGATTTCGATGAAACTTGGTGTGCGTGTACATGGGTTTACGGGGTTTATTTGTGACATAGTGTCATCCATGTTCACGAAGGTCTTCGGTGTCTGGGAGCTTGAAGAAAATTAAAATTCGGAAAAAAATGATGATGAAAAGTACTGAGGAAAATGGGACCGGGCTAGAATTGTGGCATTTTTCGCCAGCTTTCCAACGAGACCAAGCACGACCCTCTAGCTCTTACCGTTTTCGAGAAAATCGCATTTTAAGATTTTTGAACTTTGACCTTTTTCTCGAAACTGGCCGCGTCGATTTCTGGGAGACTCGTGAAAAAGTCTTCTACTAACCGAGAGCTATCACCCTATCTAGTCAGTTTTCCAAAACAGATCGTAGCCGGGATCGCCACGTTATTCGGCTGTACCCTTTGGATAAATCAGAGTCGCTCCCTTAATCAGTTTCAGATGCTGAGATGAAGCTCGGAGAATTAGCATGATTAACAGACCCTCCGAATTTTTCTCGGACTGAACCGAGTTGTTCGAAAATGCAGAGGCGAGCGATGGCGGTGCGTACCGCAAATCTATCGAGATCATTCGAGCGACCGTAAAATATTGCGATTGGGAAATAAGACGGGAATAGCCACGATTACAATCTTGAGGTGAACAATCGCTTCAGGAGCTTGACGCTATCAGGCGGACGACCAGACTGAGCTACGCTGCGTGACACGAGAGCGGCTTCCGGGTGCCGAGACTTCTGGGTCATCAGGTAATAGTGAGGTTTTGTGAGAACGGTGAACCGCCACGGGTGACACGAACCACTGCGCGTCATTTTATAGCATCGAACGTAAATATATCGTTCATACGTCAAGCTTCGCTCATCGAATGCCACTGATCCCCACGGTCGGTCGTACGAGCATGTCTCGAAAAAAATCTTCTCAGACGTCTTCAGATATGACGCGGGCGTTCTCTGCTGAATGAACTAGGTAATTTCGTATTTATTTTTGGGGCTTCACGCACTGATTCTCATGGAGTAGAGCACAGCAGGCCACCTTCATCATTATCATTCCGAGAGCTCGTTGGGTGATCGCGGAAACCCCCGACGTGCTCGTACGAGCTTTTATGAACCGCTCACGGAGACCTGCCGACTCGGTGGAGAGAAGCGAAATAGAGTTCTCTTCCCCGGCGACACTGTTTCGGCGGAAGGCAGTTTTCGGGGACGAGACCCACGCACTTCGAAGGATCCCATGCCTCCTGTATAGAATTCTTCGGTGCAGGACAGATGAGGAGAATGAAGAGAATGGATCTTACCTTCCTCTTGCCAAAGAGCAGGCAAATAGTCGCTCCAAAATCGCATCTTGTGGCAGTTTTTCTCTGTTTTGGAAATTCCTAGCTCTAGAAAATATCACAGTCTCTGCTGGACAGCAGCATGAGAATTATTTACACGCGGAATGAAGCAATACTTTCAACGTGGACACATTTTGGAGCTTGGTTTGGACACCGCGATTCACTAGCTCCAGTCCCGTGGAACGGCCGCAAGTGGCGCTTGCTCGAGGGCCCAACAGTTTGCAGAGCCGAGGAGAGAGTGGGCCCGCTATGGAAAGGGTCCCACGTGAGGGCTCGAGCCGGAGGAGCGAGGAACCTTCTTACGACACATAAAAACGGAGAAGAAATAGTAATTCTTTCATCCGTCCGAGCCTCAATCAGCCGATGGAGCTATCAAGTGCATACATCGCATAATTGCGAGGATATCTTGTCGTTTCATATAAACGTCGAGTCAGTTGCGAGACCCATGCTCAAGCATCCGTCGGCAGACCACGGAGGGCGGCGACTCTGCCCGTGAACACTAACGCACCACTTGACGCGTGCAATATCAGTGTGCATGAAAGCCTTTGAGAGCCTCGGAATGAGCTCATATTCATTTCGCGCGGCGGGGCTACTTCAACTTCATCGAGAGCCTGCCTCAGACTCCCCACGTATTAAAGAGGAGATATTTCCTTCGTGAGCGGACTCGCAGCGACAGCCTGTTCGTGAATCGAGGCTACTGCCCGCACAGTTTGCGGGCGGCCGGAGTTGAATACGAGTCCTCTCCATTCGGGGGGCGCCCTTCCACGTGATGAACTCACGGAGCGAGGGCGAGCTTCACGCATTGGAATGTACGTACTCTCCGCATGGGATCCTTTGGATGCACCGGCTATAGAATTGCTGGGTTCTATGGTTCTCCGGGCATGGGCGACGGTTCGGATGAGCTCTCCGTTTTTTTTTCGCCTCATGAACGAGAGGAAGCCCTATGGCGTAACGTCATTCATTCCCTCGGCTTCGGAGAGCCGCAGACAATACCCCGATATGGAGCTAAATTGGAGAGAGGGATAGCGTGATGCGGAGGGATGCTCGTTTTTATACTTTCAGCCTTCTAGTATGAAAGCGGCCGGAGCTCTGCAGCTCCCCAAAGAGTGGAGTCCTGAGCAGCCGAAGCGGCTCCAACTCCGAGCAGCCCTTGGCGGGCATTTCTTCCATGGAGTTTCGATGGAGCGAGAAAGTGCGTGAGCTCAGGAGGGCGTATGCGGACCTGAATTGATTTCAAAAGGCGCCGTACGGAGGGCTGCAGTATACGGAGCGCTCACGCCAAGTATTTAACGCGCTGATTCACGTATCGACCTGAGCGGGAACGAACCATCCCAGGAAAAGCCCTTCCTCGCTTCCTCCGAAGAAAGAGGTCATCGCTGTTCTCTCGATTGCGCGACTCTTGGACAGTTGCCAGCAATCCCGGAGCATTTCGACCCACGCAACATTGTCACATTCGGAGACAGCTCCCGATCGGAAGGAAATCTCCCCGAATTTCCGGCTAGAGAGGCAACGACGCCGACGTTGGTACGCCCGATGGTGACGGTCGAAAATAAATATCTTCTCTCGCCTCGTGATCAGAGGCAGAGGCTGGGAAGACCGAATCGATCATTGAAGGACAAAGCAGAATCGACGATCCTCAGCAGTTTGACACATCCGTAAGAATTCCCCAAGATGATTATTATCGGTGGACGGCATCCAGCATACAGGATTGTTGAAGGAACAGTAACATGCGGCAAGCTTCCAAAAGGTTCTTCGATGAAGGGAAGGACGATGATGCTCTGAGAATTCGGTCGACAGGGGCTGGTATGCTCAGCCTCGGGAGTATTCCCATGAAAAGGCTCAGTCAGGAATCGAATCGATCGTCTCGTTTATCGTCGGGATCGTTGTTGGAGACCGATAGCAGGTCTCAAGACCCTCAGGAACCCCTCGATGCCCATCGACCTGGTGAGGGTCTAGCGTCGAGCCCCTTACAATTAGAATGACAGGTGTCTCGAGCAGTCGGCAAGACGGCAGTTCAGCTATGAAACGCTGGCCTCGAAACTATAGGTCGACTTTTCCACGCTTCGTACTCACCGGCGCGGAAAACCTCGCTGCATCCGTCGCAACGAGATGCAAAGGCAGCATCGTAGCATCCAGCGCAATAGACCTTCTCAGCTTTGGATCCGAAGGGCTTATCAACCAGGGACACGCGGCATTTCGCGCAGAGGAAACATTGTTCGTGCCAATGCTTCTCCTTGTACGAAAGATCCTGCAAAGAAGAATTCGGGGACATCAGTATACGTTCCCCGCTGCGGTTACCTTGTAAGGTATCCGCGAGGCAGACGTGGCTAATGAGGAATAAATTCTCGCACTGTCAGAGTATCAAGAGAAAACAAGTTTATACAATCGGGTAGGTCATTGAGCGTGTCCTCGAGAGACGGAAATAGATTCACTCAGAGGTGGATATGACTGTATCGAGTGGGTCGAGTTGAGAGCCTGCAGCGGACGGGCCCTTTCGCAAGCTGTGGCGGAGTTTATAGAATTTTTGACCAACGAATACTTTTCGGGAGTGTGCTCATAGTCAATAGGGGTTAGGGCGAGGTTGACAGGGCGCTTTCCGGGCCGACCACAGAAGTTCTATCCGCTGTCCCTCGCAGGCGACGAGATCGAGTTCGCCAGGACGCGTTTTAGGGTCATTGACTCGGCGCTCCGAGCCTGCGTCGAGCGATTTGTAGGCTCCTGAGCATTGGTGGACTCGGATTTTTTTCCCGAGAATGAGACTCTGCCCGAGACCTATCGGGGGAAGGCGTCAGCGTCTTCTGTACACGACGGCGCGTCTTCCCACCGAAGGAACACCCCCGACAGAGGCGGAGAGACTTCTCCGGTGGAGGTGGAGGGAAGTCTCCGATGGAGGAGAAGTCAAGGTGATCAACGGAGCTCATGAACGCTTCCGAGGAATAGATGTTCGCCGTCACGGACCCCTCATTCAGAAGGAGGTCGGCCGGTAGTCGACCCATCCATCATGATTGTTTAGTGAGCTCTTTCCCCCTCCAAGATTTCCCTCAGAGATCGTCCGGGCAGATATCCGACTCTGAATTCTCCCTCCGCTGAGAAACTTTGAGGAAACTCCTCTATCGTTGGTTTGATTCGGGAAAATATAATCATCTCCTTCGCTGCCTCTCTCGTAACTGGGTGAGGGTCGGTTCTATAGGAGCTTGGATTCAGGAGCAGGTCTCCTCGAATTAACTTAAACTTCGGCACCTCCGAGCATTGAAGGCAGGGAAGTCGCCGACACTGCTTGCGGTCCCGAAATTATCAGCCCGTGCCATTTTATCTCATCGCCCGTTCTCCCAGGAAAAAGTGAACAATCGTTTAGATTAATCGGGAATTCTGGACAGAATTAGGTCAAAATCAAGATGAATGGCTTGACCGACGGATATTCCGCGGATGTACGCCGCTCGCAGTTGACGTCCGATACTCAGAATGAATACTTCCTGGTTGGGGTGTGTATTTGTTGAGCCGTTACCACGGAGATATCGACTCAACAGGCGACGAATCCGCTTTTGCGATGTCCACCCCAGGGTGGAATACCCTCGCGAGGATAGCGTCTTCTCCAATTTGTTTTCGGTGCCTCCGCATGCGCCTGACCGGAGCCAAGAACGAGCAATGAGATCCGGAGACCAAGAGATTCACGGAGAGTAGCGGAGCGACTGCTCGTGGAGAGGCAACGACCTTCCGCGAGAGGACAAAGACATACATCGATTGCATTGGGAATGACAGCGCCGTAAAACCCTCGTTTACTCAGACGATCCGATCCAATTCGAATGCGCAGACTGAGGTCGACGACCTCGGATCCTTCTGGAGAGCGGAATCGACGATAGAGAGAGAGATCGTGATATCAATTATTCAGCGCGCTCGCTTACCTTGGAGTCGATACCGATAGGTTTCGAGCACTCGTCGCAGGTGTTCGCGAAAACTTGCTCGTAACAGCGCACGCAATAAGGGTGTTCGTCTCGGAGAACGTAGCGTTGGCCGGTCAGGGAATCGTCGCACTGCCAACAGCAAAAATGTCCCGAGTGCCAGTCCTTATTCATGGCCTTGGTGTATTCGCCGCTGAAGATCAACTGCAATTAAATTAATTCCGTTATGGTATTTGACTGCCGAGTAAGAAGCACTGGAGGTGACTGGGCTTATCTACGCTAATTCCTATAAATTTATGAAATATATCATGAGTAAGACGATGAAAATGCATTCCTACGGAAGGATTGCTCCGGAAACAGTCGGGAGCAAGTTGACGAACTCGTCGGACGGGGGAAACACTTCATAATTCGAATAAGAATAAGATTCCGGGTCTCATCGAGAACCTATTCCGTATGAATTCTGGTCCTTTTTTTCGAAGCTATAGAAAGTCCTGCTCATCGCACAATATGATTTGGAATTTAAATTTGGAATTCACAACTCGATCCATCGTCGCGGATGAATGCCGAGTGGGATTAGATCCTCGCAGCCTATGTCCGTTCGAGCAACTCCAAGCTCTAGACTGTAGAGCCGATTATTGGAAGAAGCCGCGGTCCTGAAGCTCGCGAGTTTCTCATCGAGCGGACGAGAGTCTCCCGCGCGCGTTCCAGAGCAGGGCCTCGCCTTACTAACCTACTAAACATGACCAATAGCGATGGTGCTCGTTTGTCTGCGGCTCGGTTTGTCTCTTCTGACGTCTCCGGGCTTTCCGGACGACTCCATACTCTACCCTGATGGGCAGAAGGCCCTCGCTTACCGACAGACCGAGCATCCGACGTGGGCGAGCCAATGAGCTAATCCGAGAGCTAATTCGCTATTATTCGAGGATGCCATTCGTGCCGGAAGACCAGAGCGAGCGAGCGAACTGCGGGACAAGCTGGCGGGAGACGTTTCGAGCAGCGAGACAGAGTTTTGACAACAAATGAATTGTCGTAAAAGCTGACGGATTTCACGATGAAGTTCGGCGTAAACCCAATGTTTACAATGAGCTTCCAAGCGTTGATGAAAACAGTGAGTCTCAGACAGAGTTACAATCCGACGAGCTTCATGGTTTATCCCGAGATCCGCGTAGGCCGGGAATGTGGTATTCATGGATGCATACAAACTAGGTAAGCCAGACCTATCCGGCGAGCGAGAGCGGGCAAGCCACGAGGCATATGGGCGCCTGCGAAAGCATGCGCGAACCACACAACAGCGTATCGTGAACGCGCGCCCGCAAGTGGGCGATCTGCCGGTGCGGAGCGTAGTGAGTCACAAAGGTAGCAATCGGGTCTTTACGGCACACTTTTCCGCTAACGGACCGGAGGTCGGAAGCACGCCAGCGATAAATATTTACATCTGATGTCCGGCGCGCCCTCGGCTAGATAGACACATCGATACAAATTATTGAAATCTGCCACCGAATAATTATGCGCTGCCCTCGGGGCGTATTCTCCACGAGTCGACGACTCGCACCTTGACAACAAGGATGATCTGCCACAGATAATGATTTCAGAGCGAACTTCGTCGACGAAAGGGTCCGGGGCCTCCGCCGCATGTGAGATGTCCATGTCTTTCAGATCGAGGGATCGCTCCGAAGAGCAGGATCCAAAATGGGGGAAAGCGAGCGGCCATCGCGTCCTCGGACACGAACATCGACATTCCACGATCCCATTCGAGCGGTTTTGGTAGAACCAGCGCACATGAGCGAAGAGCAAACGATAGAGAGGGCAAGGCATAAATAATCCTGGCGACTATTCCCGGCTACCGAAGAACTCAGGGTTTTTCAGATGGGCTGAAGTCCTACAGTTCATTCGAAGTCGAGCAGTTCATTCAAGTCAATCGCCACCCGCTAAGACTGTGTCGGCCAGGATTATTGGATGGACCTACATCTCCCTGCGATGCGTTCCTAGAAGCAGCATCGTAGTTGGATCCGGTTTCCGACGCTGCTTCATCGTTGGTCTCGACGGTGGTGGTGATCTTCTTGACTTTTTAACTTTTTTCACTCGCACTACTTCATCTGCCATACTTCTTCGATGGAGGAACAGATCTCACGCGAACCACTGACCGGTACGGCCAACCGAAAGATTCGGCGCCCAACCCACTGGAGAAGCGCTTGTTCGGGAGAGCGGAGAACCGAGGGTGGAGATGACGCTTCTTTTTCTCGTTGGTCAGCCAGAGCGAACCAGTCGGTCGGTCAGTCAGTCGGTCGGCCTGTCGGTGGCTCACTCGATTAGGAAGGCAGAAAGGCAGGCAAGAGGTCGTTCAGAAACATCCGGACGAGCCCGGTGGCGGGGAGAATGAAATCGTTCAATGCGGCTCAGAAACTAACCCGACCCCGACTCGCCGACGTCCGCAGATATCGACATATCCCGAATTTTACACCTCAGGGTGGGCGTAACGCTTCACTCTGTCGATGAGACCTCGTGAAGTAAGTTGTCGCGCTAGAAACCTTGCAGACATCCCCGCCGTCCAGCCCGGAGGCGATGGCGACGACCTCTATAAGGTCCGCTCTTCTCATTGAAGGTCCTCGTGCGCCCTAAGGCCGAAGTTTCTCTCCCCAAGCATGTTTTGTCGATAGAACAGTGATTCCCGCGGCTAGAGTCTCCCAATAGACAAATCTTCCGGCACTGGACAGGTCGGACGTCCTTGAGGATTCGCTAAAGCGGGGGAGTTCAGCGGAGCGAACAACACAGTGTTCAGCAAAAGTGAGCAGTCCTCTCATCTGCTGACGGACTATAAAGCTGAGAAGACATCGCGCATGATCCGAACGACGCATCTGGGCCAGATCTGATTCCGAACGTCAATCCAATTGACAAATCCCGCTCAATCGTCAGTGTGGTGATCTCCATCGCAAGCGATCGAATATACAACTTTTTCGGGCTGAACCACACAGCCAAGGTTGAACGTCCCGGGTACTGTTATCCACATTGCTTCCGAGGACGGATCCATAGAGAAAATGTACCCAGGAAGATCAAGGCCGGGTACCTGCGCTCCCGGAAGGAATATTTTCCCGGCAGCAGGGATCGAACCCACACCGCCTCCCGCGCGAGCGGCGTCGTTGCGGCATTTCACGAAGTGAAACGCACGTTTGCACGAAAAGTGACAAACGCGCTAACCACTCGACCACCCGTCGGTACGATCGAATATACCAGAGCTGAATCCTCTAGACTAGACAATAATCAAGTCGAACCTGATCCGAGCGAAAACTCATACACATTGCAGGGAGGGAGAGTTCCGGCGCGAAATCATTTTTCGACTTATGGGAGAAAAATTAGCACATTCTGAAGGAGAAATGTCCATTCCGTCCCCTGTGGTAAGAAATGAGCCGGAATGATTGAGCCGGAATGATTGAGCCCCCCCCCCCCCGGGACGATGCGCGATTGAGCCGTCGAGGCTGTTTCAGTGAACGCAACCAATATAGCTCCCTCCGCGAATTTTTCTGTCCCATGGGGGGATTTTTCAGTATCCAAATCACTCCTTAACAGTTCTATGGCAAACTGTTTCTGTTTCTGTCCAGAGACAATGAAGACTTCGGAGCCAGAAGAAGCGCCAGATTCCGCCTCGATCGAGCTCAGGCTTTATACTTTCTCCGTGCGGTCCCAGGTAGTCCGCAGTTCACCTTTTTCTTGATATCCTCTCGCATATCTTCCACGAGTTTATCCAGTTCGATCTCCGCATCCGTCTCGCGTGCCATGATCTCTGCACGGTGAAACACAAAGTCGGAGAATTCACGAATTTGCCTTAGAACTACAGCATCATAGATATGGCACTTCCGTTGAGATGGCACTTAATCGCAATGGCACTTGGTTCCCATAAAAGATCAAGGAGTTCAGAGCTCCAAACGACTACATTTCCTCCACCGGCGCTGCTGGCCCGGACTTCACTGACGACTATCCAGAGCTGTCGGCTTCAGCCGCTCGCTCAAACACAGACACACACGAGCCCACGTCTTTTACGCCGTCGCCCTCTCCACCAGCAGAAGTTTGCGCCCGCGTCAAACACTAACGCGTCGTCGATTCTGGCGTTGCGATCAAAACGCCGAAAGTCGATTTGACCGATTTTTCTTCGGCTTTTCCCCCTGCTCAGTCAGTCGTCCCACAAGTCCTCAGACCGGCGACCTGCTTGACCATGCTCCTTAGCATCATCAAAAATAATGAAAGCCGCCTTTTGACGGTGAGAGGCTGCGACCCTAGCGATGTTCCGGATCGAACGAGCCGGAACGAGAGAGGGAGCTTCCAAGGTCAGAAGTTCCGTTTCGAGTTCATGGCGGAGACCGGATCACGTATTGTTGCCGACATTCGCTCCAGTCGTGCAGCCACTTCGTTTGACCGTCTGCCCTGACGCTTCACCTGTCGATTCGTCAGTCAGACAGTCAACGAGCCGCTCATACACTCGGCTGGCTGCTCTGTCTGCCGATCGGTCAGCTTGTACGTCAGTCAGTCAACATTTTCCACAACAATGGAATGTCGTTTCTATTCGAAAGAGTGCTCCTATCCGATTTTGGAAGCGGGCGATCCATTCACTCGAGAAGCGAAGCCCACAGCCGGTAATCGATGACTTATATGTACATGGTCGGAGAAGACCCGGGTCGCGAGCCAAAATCTGACAAAGCGAGTTGAATGGCGAAGATTCCGACTAAGAGCATCTCCATAGGGAGAAACTTCTTAAGACTCCGCGAATGGTTCTTGTGTGACCCAGTGCAAACGCGGCTCTAAGTGATGCCGAAAGATGCCAACTTCGCTAGTGGAGAAATAATCCCCAGAGACAAGCATCTCCATCAATTACGGATACTTTTCCATTGGGCTCGAAGTCGATTCACGACTCGGCCAGCTGTGTCTACATACATATGTCTCTATGTATGCTGATGTCGCCCACAAATATTCCTCCTACACGGTCGGCTTCGGCTTGCCAAAACAATGAAGCACGTCCGTCGGCGGATAGATGATAGATCACTTGGAAGCTGCTGAATTGGTCGGACACGAGAGGGTCGATGAATGTATGAGTGAATTGATGGATGAATGCGGTACGGATTAGACGTGTGATTAGAAGAGGACAGTATTACTGATCGAATCTCAAACTCACTGATAAACGGTCGGCGCTCGATGACTCGCAGTGCTTGCGAAGC